CAACCGAACTGCCCGTTTCGACCAGCATCGACGGAGACTGCGTGTTGACGGCAGGACGAGGGGCTCTCCAGTCACGATACAGGGGCACTCACGGCCGAGAAGGCCCACGCTGCGCACGAGATTGACGCACTTGCCAGTGGTCCAGGCCATGACGCTCCATCACGATTTAGTTGGCCTCGGGGACCGAGCGGAAGGCACTTCGGCTTTCTTCGATGAGCACATCCTCCAGGATCTTCTCGAATTCAGTTGGTGCCATGAGAGCAAACGAGCGAACGTGGTGTCGGGGTTGTTGCGACGGACCCCTTCGATCGCGAGCTTGTTAGCGTATGTAGTTACCGCTGGAGCGCGCCGTTTTCCGTCTCTGCCGGCCTTTTGGTGACGCGGGACAACAAACCTTGCGCCGCGGCTGCAGGGTCCAAACCCTGGGCCACTCGCTCAACAGTGCGGGCAGCACGGAGCGTTCATCAGCCGAGAGTTTGCTCACGGATTGTTTGGTGGCGGCAGCAGGCACGACGAAGAGGGTGCCAAATAATTTCAGTGGAGGGCCGAGTGCACATCGCATGACTCTATCTCCTGAATGGCGCGGCACTCGCGAATACTGTGACTCGGTATCCAGTCTGGCGGTACGGTCATGTCGAGAGCCTTGACAACGTTCGGATTCGCGTGGGCAGCACGTCCGCCCCAACAAGGGAGTGCCGACGCACCATCCTCGATATCGACACACGGAATCGACGTCCATGCGGTCGGCAGTCGCTAAGCTAGCTGGTCGGAAGTAAGATCGGTTGGTTTGCAACGAGTTCCACGCTCCGCAGAGGCGACGAGCCATAATTCCCCCCTACATCAAGTTTGCAACTTGCACAATACAGTCGGCGTGATTCTGCATGACCGTGCATGCTCGTTTGATTAGAAGTACGAGCGCCAAGCGCCTTTCATGTTTCGGTAGCATCGGCCGATGCGGAATGCTGTGGGCATCATCGGCGGTGAATCCAAATTTGTCGCTCCGTGAAGCAATGAAATCGTTGCAAATGGTGGTGGGGCAAAACCAAAAACTCTGCTGCTTTACGCGGCGTGGGTCGACCATGTCGACGTTGACGCACGAAGAACGATTACACTCGAAAGATTTTTCGGTGGACGGAGATGAGTTGTATCCTAGCCGCGGTCGGATCGAGATGGCTTCAACAAGCAGTCGTTTACTTGTTCGTGGTGGGCTCGAGGGACTCCCGCGAGCGACAGACCTAACATGACGCAGACCCGTTCTTCCTTTGTCTTCTTAGGCGAGACAAGGTGGCGATGACATGTGCCCTTGACTCTGGTCTGGCCACCATGACTGTGGCAGTTGGCAGTCACCGGCCACGAACTAGTACGAGCTATACTTAGCCACCTTTTCACGGGACGGCAACGTCCATAAAATCTTCCGCAGCCATGGCTATCCCCCTTTGGAACAAGGCCATCCTCGTCGCGCTGACGGTTGGAGTGATTGTGTGCTTTGTCTACGTCGGCACGCTCCCGCCCGCGTACGCCAACCAAGATCCCCCGCCGTTCCACACCGCTGCATGCGCCGCCTGTGCCAACTACTCCACATGCCCCAACGTGTTCGACTTGGGCGGGTCGGTTGACATGAACGAAGGTTTTGTGTGCCGTAGCGGGTGCGTGCGCGACCCGATTGCTACGTCAAGTGCCACTTGACGATTGTGTGTGCCAGGGACGTGACGTGCTGCTGTCCACACAACGACCCCAAGTACAGCGTGCGGTGTGCCGATCAATTCAGTGGCAACTACATCCCGTCGAAGTGTCAGTGCCGGTACGAGCGACTGTGCGGCGAGTCGTGCTTTTTCAACGAAGGCTTGGCGCCGATGCTAATTGGGATCGCGGGATGCATTGTGCTGGTTTGCTTTTCCATTTGCACGTGTTGCTGGCACTGCCGCTCACGGCGCAATGCTCCACCGCCAACTGCGAGGGCGAAGTGTTTATGTGGATGAATCAATCTGGACTCTGCTTTGGAATATGGTTTCCAGTAAAAAAACGATGGCCGACCTGCTCCACTCTGCAAGACATGGCAAGCACGTTTTCTCATCGCAGTGGACGGTGGTGTATATCTTTGCAAAGTGTGGGGAATCAAATATCCTACATGGCATGAACTACCCCGCGATGAGCTACGGGTCCCACTTCCTCGCGAGGTCCTTGTGTGTCTTTTCAATCAGTGGGGATGCTTCGGTCGGTCCGCGAAGGGGCTTGGTGGATCTCGGGGTCGTGTGGTGTTTCGCTGGAGTTGCGCCGGTCTTTTCGCGGTCGGTATACAGCGCCCACTTGAACGACGCCTCGGCGGCGCCCAGTCGATCTTCCAGCGACTTGGGCAAACTGCGCCACGAGTTCCAAAAGAGCCATGCGCCAACAAACAGCACATTTTCCGACACGAGGATCATGACGAGGCGTGTGCTCATGTCAAAGCACTCAAACGACGGACCAAACCGAAACGAGTCGAGCTTGATCTTGGCGACGCATTGCGGCACGAAAAACTCGACCGCGCCCGTCGACACAAATACGAGCCCCGTGTACACAATCACACCCATGCACGCGAGAATGACAAACATCGTGTACCATTCGCCAATCCCGCCGGCTTTCTGGGGCAATGGGCGCTGCATCTTGGTGCACAGGCGGTACCCGTCGGCGCGGTACTTGAGCGCGTTGATACAAAAACAGCACAGCGGCATGAGCGGCCACAGCATCGAAAACATGACGACAAAGCCGTACTGAACCATCGCCGTGTGGTAGTCATCGTACGGATCGTACTGATCTTGCTTGCCCTGGAACAGCACTTCCCGCGCGACACGATGCAGCGCATCCCATGCTTGAACGTTGACTTGGAGTCCTTTGGCTTTTGAATCGCTCGCAAGCCGGGTTGTTTTCTGGACCCCGGTAGAAACAGTGGTGGGCTCCACGATGTCGGCTGCTGTCGACTCGCCATACTCGAGAGTGCCAAGGATTGCGGCATCGCGCTTGCGGGCGTCTTGTGTGGTGAGCATCGCGAGCGCTTGTTGGTCGGTGCGCTTGCGCAGCGCGACGTGGCGTCGGCGAAGGGCCCATGGGACGAGCAGCTGAATGAGCAGGTTCAGCAGTTGCGCCACCACGACCGGCGTCACGAACAGCGATTCCAAGTTCAAATGCTTCATGTCGAACGTGACGTACCTGTTGTGCATAACGTCGTCAAGGGTCAATGCAAAGATGCGATCGAGGTATACCCTTTGCAAGGATTGCACTGTGTCAAGCTGCCGCCGTGGGGAAGACGATGCCATGGCGGCGGGCACGACGTGCACAGTTTGGACCATTTGTCCAAGTACGGGCCAAAGCAGCAGTTTGGTTCATCTTGAAACAGAACCGAGTTGAGGGCGTTGGTGATGGTATCTCCCGCCCCTATTCGGATGCACCACAGGGCGCCTGTGTGAGCCACCGACGACTTGAGCCGACCAGAGTCACCACCAGCACGTCCACACAACTCCAAAAGCGAACAGATTCGATCGCGTCCTTGTCACGCACCTGGCACCACGTACACGAACGCGAGGAGGAAGAACCACGTGTAAATGTTGAGAAAGTCCATGAAGAACAGCTTCCGAATCAAGCTGCGCTCAAACTGCTCGGTGGTGCGCCAATTTTCCCATTGTGTACACAGATGGGCCATTGTCTTGACCACCAGCTCCCACTGCACCACATCCACAAACAGGCCAAACACGATCCCGCCCCCGAGGACACAAAACCACTGGACCCCGCCGAATCCCGTGTCGGGGAATCGAATCTGAAATGTTTCGTACGTCGTGATCCAGGCCGCGATGAACAGCATCATGATCGCGATCTGCACTACCATGAAGATCGTGACAAACACGTACACGGGGATGCGCTTCCACCACGCGTAAACAACTTCCATCTTGTTTGTGACTGGGTTGTACCGCTCCGAGCCTTGAAAGTTCGGGTTCGGATACAGCAGGAACTTGGTATGCAGGTCGTTTTTCCACGCAAAGTTGAGCGCGCTGTTGTGGCGCCGCCACCGCTTGAGAAACCAAAAACTCCAAATCACCGACACGAAAAAGCCCCACACGACCAAAAGCTGCATGTACATGGCCGTGCCTGCGCAACTTCATGTCAAACACGACCTCAGAGGGACCGGCACGAACCTAAATACGGACGTGACAGCGTGAAGACTACCCCCACGATCGCGATCGGAATCAAGCTCTGGTTGTAGCAGTCGAGAAAGCAGAAGTAGTACGCGACACGCTCCCCAAAATACGTCTTCACATGCGCACTGAACTGCTCGGCGTCGAGACGACCGCAGCTTCGAATGTACTTGCGCATCAATGCGGACGTTTCTGCTTCGTCCTGGACGGGGAACACGTGGCGGATGAGCGGCACGGCCTTCTTCGTGATGTTGGCGCGGGCGCGGATGATGTACTCAATCGCTTGGATGCGGTCGGCTGGATCGACGTCAGAAGGATCGTTGACAAGGATGTCGTCCAGTTCCCGCGCGTTTCCACACCGCATCCACATCTGAAGTTTCAAATCTTTGGCAAAATGGAGCACCAGCGCATCTGGCGCGCGGACGAGGACGATGTAGTACGTCGAGTCCGTGCCTTCAATCACGTCCACCCACAAACCTACCAAGACGCTTGTGCATTCGAGTCATAGACGCAAGGGGTGCTTATTACCCTGAGCCACGAGTGGATCGACAATTGTCGTTTGCACTGCTACCTTCTCCGAATCGAGTCCTTTTAGCCGCTTGGTCACGACAGCAAAGTCATAGCACGAACGAGGCTTCTCCCCCTCGCCACGGCCAGTCAAAAATCGGTACTCTCCTTTCGTTACCGGCACTTCCTTGGGGAAGTCCGTCATCTCTGCCGTCGCCGCTGCTTTGGCGGTGGGATATGCTTCAACTTCTGTCGTGGAGACTACTATCCGGATGCGCATGATTCTGACTGTAAATAGTGTGCTGGAGAATTTCCTCCTATTTTTCGATTTGTCAAGTGCGATCCTTTTTGAAAAAACCCTCAGAATAATCTGGAAATAGTGTGAATATCATCTTCGACCACGGTGAATATCATCCGGATAATGCGGAGTTCAACTTATCCGGTAAAAAGCTCTGTATCCGGACCGCGCCATTCGTTGTCCATTCAACGACGCGGTGACAATGCTCCACCGTGCGTTGTCAGCAGCGCCGCGCACGAGACCTCTTCTTCATGCGGCTTTCTCGACCGCTAGCTCCCGTACGGCTCGAAGTGAGGTTGAGCTGGAGCTGAGTGCAATCGTAGGATTCCCCGATCTCATTACGGGTGACCCGTACAACAACGTGAGCGAGGCGATTGCTTCGAAAGTTGGAATGAACTTGCATCGACAACCAAACCACCCGCTTAACATCATCAAGACGAAAATCGCGACATACTTTGACGACTTGCATGCAAATGGGTAAGCAACCAACGCCTCATTAGTCGGATTCCCATCATGCTCGTGCGTGTAGCCAACCCAAAATGCACTTGTTTGACAACCTGTCGCCCGTCGTTTCGGTTGCTGATTGCTTCGACCACATGCTGATCCCCGAGGACCATGTGTCTCGCCGACCAACTGACACGTACTACCTCAACCCGACGACGTTGCTTCGCACTCACACGAGTTGCCACGAAGTGCCGTTGATGAAGCAGGGCATCAAAAACTTCCTCGTCGCTGGCGACGTCTACCGTCGCGACGAGATCGACGCGAGCCATTACCCCGTGTTTCATCAGATGGAAGGACTTCGCTTCTTCCCCGAGGTACCATCTCCCGTCCCATGTACCATTCAATCGTTTGACACATGTGTCCAGCTGAGCCGGTCGATTCCGTACGATGCCCGCGTCGCGCTTGTCCAGGAGCACCTCAAGACGACGCTAGAAGGCATGGTCGAATCGATTTTCGGCAAGGTCGAGATGCGCTGGGTCGACGCGTACTTTCCATTTACGGATCCATCGCTCGAGCTTGAAATTTACTTTGAAGTACGCGTTTGCGTGTCGTCTTGCTTCACACTACGTGGTGCAATTGCAGGGCGAGTGGCTCGAAGTGCTGGGATGTGGCGTGCTGCAGCGCCAAATTGCCGAACACGGCGGCGTCGTCGACGAAGTCGGGTGGGCATTTGGCCTCGGATTGGAGCGACTGGCCATGGTGCGTGCATTCATTCCAGCCGTCCATCCTGTCATGCGTGTGACTCAACGTGTGGTGGCCAGGTCCTGTTCGACATCCCTGACATTCGGCTCTTCTGGACCACAGACGCGCGCTTCTTGTCGCAATTCCAAGTACGTGTACCGAGATCGGGGAAGGTTCAAAATTGTGGTTAGGATGGTGTGATCTCCAAGTTCAAACCGTACAGCAAGTACCCGCCTTGCTACAAGGACGTGAGCTTCTGGCTGCCGCCCGAGTTTCACGAGAACAATTTGTTTGAGGTCGTGCGCAATGTCGCGGGGGACATGGTCGAACAGGTAGACTGGTGGCTTTCAATTGATCTTGGCGTCGTCCGTCATGGTCATGTCCAGGTCGTACTCGTGGATGCGTTCACCCACCCAAAGACGCAGCGCTCCAGCAAGTGCTTTCGCATCACGTACCGCCACCTGGACCGCAACTTGACCAACGAAGAAGTCGACGACATCCAGGTTTATCTTGGCGACACATTGCACTGGCACCTCAACGACTCTTACGCAGGTGGTTGTGCGAGACGCCATGGTCAAGGAACTCGGCGTGGAGCTGCGATAAGGCCGGCCTGGCCCATTTAGGACGGCCAGAGACTGAACCGTAATCGATCGCTGCTTCCGTGCCACAATGCCTTCATTCTACCCTTCCTACATGCTTAATCTCAAGTGTCACGACCTCGAAGCGAACCCAACGTGCAATCCAACGGGGGGGACATGGAGATACATGCTGTCATGGTTGTGTATGCCGTTCTCGTCGAGGGAGTCCATCCTCGTGGGGCTGCACCCACATGGACAGTCACATGCCGCCATCTACCCAACTGTCTCGCCATCCTTGCCAAGTACGACTTGATTTCTTCCGAGACTTCTCCGCAACGAGCAGAGTCAGGTCAAGTTGGCAGGGAGGTACTTGGCAGAGGGCTTGTCGCTGTGTTTCGTTGCCCACAGCAACGCTTAGGTCAGACGCATTGTTTTCTTTGTATTGCTGCCACGGGAGCACGTGCAAGTGCCCTCCGTAAGCAGCGCTCGAGTGTCTTGGGGAGCAGGTCGAAGTACAAATCGCAACCACGGCAGCATGGCTGCCATCTCCATCACCTTGACTGTGCAGGGGGTGCTCTGGTCAGTGTACAGTCACCGCGTGATCCCCAGGTAGCGTGCTTCACCTGCGGCGACGTTTGCGTGAACGTGATGGCCATTCTGGAATCTTCACACGGCCACACTACGTCGAGCGCTTTGTTCGAGGCAAAACCAACGAAAGAAAATGTTAAATCGTCGCCACCATGCCGAATCGGGACCTCCTCAACAATCGTGGCGGCATCTCGTCGTTCCTATGGCTCAGCGCTGCCTTGAGGCACGTAAATGCCTCAGCATCGTCAAGTGTCCATGCAAACTAACATTGCCCGCCGTCGTGCAGCTCTCGGTAAAGTTTTGGCGCAGGAATTCAGCCTTGGTCACGTCCCCAGTCATGCAGTCCATGGCGGACGTCGACCTGTCTTCGTTGCAATGCCAATGCATTACTCGGACACTCGTGGCTGCAATGTCCATCACAGCGAACGAATGTCATTTCTCCTCGCAGTGTTTATCATGCCAGTGGCAACCCCGTTCAAGGAATTGCGCTCGCATGCCCCATCCATCACCAGCTCTGTTCATCCCTCGCTTCGCATACAAACACCGAACGACTTCCAAGTGACCGTGCCACCTTGCCCATGGCCTCCGGCGTACACCCTTCCGAGCGACGGCGATGGAGGCATCTTCCAAGTGTCCGCGCTCTGCAGCGAAATCCATGGCACTTCCGTCATCGGTACGATTGGAAACTCTCGTGGAGGGACGAAGCGATGTCTTGGTGACCACGGGTGCCGATGGAAGCTCCTTGCCCAAGTGTGTGAAATGTGCACTTACCCTGATACAGACTGTGTTGCCCATTCCTTCAACGTGAAGGGATCTCGACGCTTGTCAAGCAATTCCGTCTCGCAGCCCCCACAGGCGACCCCGGGCTTCTCCGACTGCTCCATCCCCAGTCAACCCTTCAACTGGAGCTGGCCCTACCTCCATATTCGTCAGCGTCCATGACACGATCAATGATAATCATAGCCATCCTGTCGGTTCTGGCGTAATGACTCCATCGCCAAGTTCACTCGAATCGATTACTCAATTCAAATTGAAATGCAATTGACGGATTTGTCTGCAGAACCATCCTGGCACCTCGAGTGTGCCAGTCTACCTTCATCGGCAGCAACCTCTCGCCACTTGGTGCTGGAATGCCGTGCGAGACATATCCTCTATGAAATTCTACGAAGCGACGCGGTGTGAGCTCGATCCCAGACCGGTCACACCACCCGCAGTGTTCACAGTCTCGTTGCGTGCCAACTGGATTGCGAGGTGTTATGGGCAATATCGTCAGGCGTGGAGCTTCTACAAACATGGAATGCCTTGAGCAGGATGGTACAAGAAAGACCTGCTCATTTCCTTCCATTGTCTTCCATTGCTCAATTCAGTCAAGACAGCATGCGGGGCAAAGTTGACAAGTGGCCACCGCCCCCTCGTGGAATTCGCTCGCCCGCCCACACGTTCAACGGGTGTCTGAGCGGTAGTCGAGCTTTATCTGGCGACAGAAATCCCAGGAGCCCATTATGACGGAAGCGGCACACGTCGATGGAGCAGAGAGACCTCAGTAGCATGGCCAGTACCTGCATGCCGCTGCTATGATCTGCTGACCCAAACGGATAGAGCATTTTCACAAATTTGCCAAAATTCGGAAATGCCGAAAAAATTACCAAAAATTGTGGGACAATAGGGACAATCCGGACTTAGTTGGACAAATCGATGGGCATGTGCTCAAATAAATGCAGCTTGGCGATCCAAACTTAATCGGACTTGATTGAGCCTCCGCCGCAGAAAACTTCGACATGAGTGGAAGCGTTGGCGGCGCGACGATGTCTCTAGGGGACTTGGACGTCGGGACGCTTGATGCGTGGTGTGAGAAGCTGCTCACGTGCCAGCCACTCAGTGAACCAGAGGTTGTCCGTCTTTGTGCCCGTGCCAAGGAAGTATTGCGGAACGAGTCGAACGTTCAGCCGGTTCGATGCCCTGTCACGGTCTGCGGCGACGTCCACGGCCAATTCCACGACCTCATGGAGTTGTTTCGCATCGGAGGTCATGCTCCCGACACAAACTACTTGTTTATGGGAGACTACGTTGACCGAGGGTACTATTCCGTGGAGACGGTGACGTTGCTTGTGGCTCTCAAAGTCCGGTACAAGGACCGCGTTTTCATCCTTCGTGGGAACCACGAGAGTCGGCAGATCACACAAGTGTATGGGTTCTACGATGAGTGCTTGCGCAAGTACGGCACGCCGAACGTGTGGCGTCAGTTCACGGAAGTGTTTGACTATTTACCATTGACGGCGGTTGTCGAGAACCAGGTCAGAGAACAGTCTTCTTGATGGCTCCCGACTTTTCGCCATCTCATCTTCACGCAGATCTTTTGCTTGCATGGCGGGCTGTCTCCTTCGATCGACACGTTGGACCACATTCGCGCTCTGGACCGGGTGCAAGAAGTGCCGCACGAGGGGCCAATGTGCGATCTGTTGTGGAGCGACCCGGACGACCGATCGGGGTGGGGCATTTCGCCCCGCGGGGCCGGATACACTTTTGGTCAGGACATTTCCGACCAATTCAACCATGCGAACGGCCTCACGCTGGTTTCCCGCGCACACCAACTCGTCATGGAGGTCCGTTGACGTTCCGTCTCGCCACCGATCTGACGACCGTGGATGGCTCAGGGGTACAACTGGTCGCACAAAATGAACGTCGTCACCATTTTCTCGGCGCCCAACTACTGCTATCGCTGTGGCAACGAAGCGGCCATCATGGAGATCGACGAGCAGATGCAGTATACCTTGTACGTACGCTCCTGTCTTCCTTCTCGAGCTCATCCATGTCGATGTGCAGCTTGCAATTTGACCCAGCGCCACGCCGCGGTGAGCCGCATGTGAGTCGGCGAACTCCCGACTATTTCTTATAGACAGCATCCCCCGTGAATATGACGACTCCTCGCGTACTTCAGTTTGTCGTCGTGTGCCTTCCACACGTCCAAACCATGGGCGGTATTGCCAAGTTCGTGCCACTTGAGCTGCAGGCATGTACCGACAGTGAACTCGTCTGGCTGCTTACTCGACGAGCCGCACCTCGAACAATTGCATCGTATGCTGCTGTGCGTGGTCTGAAGGCTCAGCAGTTCAGCCGCACACACGGCTGCGTCTTCAACACTGCAGGCATCGCTTCAGAAATCAAACGATAAGCACGCTCGAGGTGATGAGTTTCGACATCCGCGCGCTCTCCGATGGTACGTGCGACTGCAAGGTGCAAACTTGATCGAGGAAGGTTCAAAAGCATGGCCGTGACACGCAAACGATGCCTGGGTCACGCATGCAGGTGATGAAGGACTCGAAGAACGCATGCGCGGCAGGGTCGGTGCAATCAAGCAACTGTTCGCAGTACGTTGTTGGGAGAGGATGCATGTTTCGGAGACGGCATAAGCGGGTCAAGCGGCAATAGCCAGGAACGCCACCTGTTCAAAGTTGCCGCACTGGCGCATGTACTCGTCGTGGAAACAATGCTCTTGTTTGACGTACCGACACTTGTGCATCGCATGATGGAGGCACATGACGTCGCCTGTCAAGGAGCACGTAGCACTTTGGAAGTCTCGAAGGGATGGCACCACCACTCAGCACCGATTTATTTCGAGTCGCTAACGCTTTCTCGTGCCACCATACCCGGAGCATGACCACGAAACCCCGCACGATGCGGCCGGCAGTAGCAGGACAAGGATATCTGCTGGCATCCCTTGATTCACCACCCCACCTCAGCCAGCTCGAATCTTTCGTGATTTCGACGACTCATGCCACCCACTGTCAACATGACCTCTCGCCCTTCGCGATCTCTATTCAGGTTGACTGCCCAAGGTAACGCCGCTAAGCCACCGATACTTGTGCCGTGAATTCGCCAACCACGCAGTGGTGCGGAGCAGCGTCTGTTTGTACATTGAACAGTCGTGTTCACACGTCGCCATGATGTCCTGATCACATCACGAGGACGGAATGTTGTAATTGCGAACCTTTTTCCGCTCTTCGGCCATTTCGGCGCGCTTGGACTGCAGCTCCTTCAACTTGGACATGACGCTACGCTGGCTGTCGGTCTCTCTGCACGCGCCACATTGTCAGATCAACTCCATTTGACGGGAAGCTCATCACCTCTGCACGTGTGAAGGCGCACGCGGGCGTCCCTGAGCAGGCTCGACGTCCACCTTTTTCCCAGCCAGAGCTAATACTTCCTTGGCATGCTTGAGCTTGAGCCTGGCGTCCGACATGGTCGGAGGCGGAGTGAGGTGGTGGGACGTCTGGGTTGCCGCACCAACGGCAGACGCCGTTGTGTCCGTAAAGCTCGGAGTTCGTTTCGCTCGCGCAAGGTCCACCTACATGGGGTCAACCCCGCCATCAATTGGAGTTTTTTCGTGGATGCACAAACTTGTTCTTTGGCCGCTTGAAACGACATCAACTTGTCAGATGCATCGGAAAGAGTGATACCGCCGCCAATGGAGCTGTTGGGACTCGCGTCTTCGCGCTTGAGCCACCTCCGTAGTTCCTTCTTCAGCGCTTTGTTGTGCAGTTTGGATTCTTCCAGCGCTTGGGTAAGCTCTGCCACCCGAAGTTCCTGTATCAGCACCGTTTTCGTGACGCAACTCCATATAATGAGTGCCTCGTCAAACCTGCTGCTTGAGCGCAAACGAATTGTCTGGTGCGGTCGTGCCGAGCTGGAGCTTTCGGTTTTCCGCCGTCAGTCGATTGCTCAATTCCATGAGGGAATTGCGTTCGTTCTTGAGTACATCAACTTGAGCCAGAGCGTCGTGGAGCTGGTTGCGAAGACCGGTGATCACTGCCGTACTTTCTTCGGTTGAGTTGGTGGTGTCGATGTGGGTAATTTGCTCCAACTTGGCAACAGCTGCGTTTTTCTCGTCAATGGCTACTTGGAGTTCCTTTTGGACGAGTTCCACTCGCTGTTGGAGCTCGTGGACCTGGCCTTCTAGCTGCCGGATCGTTTGCTGTGCAGCTGGATCGTCCTTCTCTACAGATCACATGACAAGTTTGCAAGCGAGTAATGTGTGTTTGTCCGTACGCGATGGAGTGATAGGAGGTGGCGACGGCATCGCCGATTGCTTCATCAACTCTTCTGTCATGGTTCGAATCATGCCTAATTGAAACTCCACGTCGTTCGACTTCAAGACACGAAGCGGAAGATTACCTTTGAGCTTGGCATTTTCTGCCACAAGGCTGGCGTTAGGATCGTTGGGGGCCGGTGATGGCGCTGGCGATGGTGCAGTGGAGTTTGTGGGTGTTTTCATGGAGAACGCAGCAGGAGGTAGCAAGTTGGACCCGTTGCTTCCTTCACTCCATATAGGCGACACTTCCGACGGCACACTTGGCAATGGAAACGCTTCGTTGACCTTGACGACTGCTTTTTGGGCGTACAGCTCCCCTCGCAGTCGAGTTAGCTCGGCTTCGGCATGCTTTAGTCTGTCTTCGGTAGCCTAGAGCACTTCGATGAAACGCACAGCAACACACGGGGAGGATTTGTACTTGTTTCTCAGCCACCAATCGCTCTTTTCCAGCAGCAAGCTCGCGCATGCGAACGTTATGCTGCGCCATCCACTCGTGCTCGGCTTCTATCGAGTTGTAAGAAAAATGCAACACATATTGCTCTTGAATACCTTGCAACTTGACTTCCAAACTCAGGCTCGTGCTGTGCACTTGTCGCTTGAGTTCTTCGATCGTTTCGTTGGCCTGTTGCAGGTCCCGTCGCAACGATGCTTCCTTGTCCTTGCCGTCTTGAAGGAGCTGGACGGACACTCTTGCTGACTCTTTGGACGACTTCAAATCCACCTCGAGCTGCCACATTTCGTTCTTGAGCTCCTTCAATATCGAGTCCCGTTGTTCAAGCGCATCTTGGTGGTCGCTCGCAAGGCGCTCCATGTCTCGCTCTCGCTGCAGCAACTGGTCTTGCGCTTCCCACTACGTCCATGACGCTCTTACCATGAATACTATTCACGCGATATGCTTTCTTGGGTTTGGTACCTTGGCTTGTTTGAACTCTGTCTGGACCCTTTCCAAGGTTTCGTCCGCCACTCGCAACTTGTTTACGACCGTCTACGTCGTCACATCGCATGGTTCCATGAACAAGCATGTTTCCATGCGCCATGTTCATTGCATTGTAAAGCGAAACCAGGAAAAACATCTTCCTTTGCATCGAGCACAACGGCGCGCGGCGACATTGCCCAGTGATACAACACCCATGCCAAGTGTAACGAGAAGATGTTACTCCATGGGTACGCATTCATATGCATGGCCAACATCACCATCAACCAAGGTCCAGGAATTCCATCGCCGCAACATGTGCTTACCTCGATGCGCGCCTCCATTTTAGCTGTCTGCGCCTTGAGTTCGTCCTCTTTCATGCGCACCGCGCGCTTGAGGTCTTCGTCAAACTGCGCCTTTTGAGCCAAGAATGCCTTCTCGACGGCGTGCAACGACTGCAACAAGTCGGCCATCTTGCCTTCATACTCGTCCAAAAGAGCTTGCTTGACGGTTTGCAACTCGATCGTTTCTTGTTCGAGTTCCGAGATCTTGGCTTCTTTCAACGCCCGCACATCTGCCACTTCCCACTGCAGTGCTTTTTGGGCCTTGTCGCTTTCGGCGAGCTGGTCAACCAACTCGTCAACCTTTCGCCGCAGGTCGTGGTTGCGTTCCTTCAATGTATCGTTCTCCCGTCCCATTGACTTGACCTTGAGTTCCAAGTCCCGCGCTTTGCCGCCGACGTCGTCGTGTGCGGCGCGAAACTCTTGTTCGCGTTGTCGAAGCACCTGTGGGGGCGGGAGTCGGCACAGGGGCAACAATTTAGTTCATCCAGTACGCATACCTCGTCAAATGTAACTGTGAGCTCGCGGCGAATGCTCTCGATATCTTCGTCCTTTTCACGAAGCTCCCGGTCGTGCCGCCGCTTCAGAGACTCGATCTCTTCCTTGGCCTTTCGCATGTCTTCGTCATAACTCCATCGAGTTGACTCCATTGCCCCGCGGACTTCTTTAAGCTTTTGCTGCATGTACATGTCTCCTTCGCTCCCCTTTTGCTTTTCCATCTTGAGGTCGTTTTGGAGGTCTGCGAGTTGAATCTTCAGTTCACTCACTTCGCTCTCTCTGAAGGCATGTGCAAGTACGAGGACGATCATGAACAATATATGTAAGTATGGGTGGTGTACCGATCTCGAACGACTATCTTCAGTGTGGCGAAGTTGCTGTCGTACATTGCGAGTTCTTCGTCACGACCTTCCAAGAGCTGTAGGGAACGGGCCATGAAGACGCGGGATGCATTCCGTTGATGTTCTCGACGCATACCTTGAGGTTGTATTTGAAGTCGTCCTGGAGTTTGTAAAACTTTTGCTTGTAACCCTGCATGGCTTGCTCCTTGGAAAACGTTGTCATGCTCCTCTCCTTTCTACGTCGACATACCTTTTCCTTGAGGAGACCTTCCAGAGTGCGGATACGATACTCGTTGATGTCATGGAGTTCCTTCTCCTTCTCTAGAATGAGTGATCGTATATTGTTCGTCTCGGGTGGCGCCGCGGAGAGCGCGGCAGTGTACTGCATGCCGACCCCGCGCTTTTTCAAGATCCACACTACAATCGTTCGAATTCAACTCCCTGGGTTTAAAAACCATTTTCCGGATAAATTCACACAATTGCCATACATTCCCTCGGAAATACGACATATCGAAACTCCCACCTTGTTCACAATTTTAAAATTTAAAGTCCTTGTACTTCTTCGAGCTCTTTTCGTCCCGAGCCTTCTCAAGCTTGCGCTTGCGCTTGCCCTCCGTATCGTCCGTGGCGATGCCGCTCGTAGACACGCTGTTCACGCCACTAGTCGATTGGACGCTATGTAGCCCGCCATCCTCCGTTGGCTGCGACACGACGTAGGCATGCGTGGAACCGTAGATCGACGAAGACCCCACTGCCGTCTATAACGCACAAAATGCCGCGGTGAGGACAACGTGCCATGGTGCTATTGCATGATGGTTCAAAGCGGCTTACCTCTGTCTGGGCCAACACAGTGTACAGTTCCTTGGCCGGGCCAGACGTGGTTGGGGGTGGCGGCGGGGGCACAGAGTGTTCGGAAGACATGGGCGGTTGCTTGCGCAAATCCAGCGAATCACCAGGGCCAGGTCGTCCGCCACGGACATCTTCTTCGTCGTCCAAGTCCATCACGCCGTCGTCGTCTTTGGTTTCTTCCTCGTCTTCGTCGTCCTCTTCTTCCTCGACCACGGGTTCCAACTCGCCCCATCGTTCCTTGCTCACGGCTTCCTCCACAACGATAGCCTGCGTCTGGCCTTTTCCAAACACGTCTCCATACACAGGATTGCCATTTTCGTCGACAGGCGGTTTGCCCCACCCACCAGGATGATACCCGAACGACGCGCCTTCCGGAATCGGAGCGTTCAACCCTGGAATCTTCAAATGCGGATATGCTGGAGGAGGTCCATACCGCTGCACGTTGAGCAGCCATGGCGGCGGTACCCCGTCCACCATCCCAAGCGCACGCTTCAGGTCGTCGCTGAGGATGCCGGGGGTCTTGGTCTTGAGCTTCACTTCAAATTCCTTGCCTTCGTAGTACAAGTCGCCGAGTTTGGTGAGCGTCGGTTTGGTCTGGTATCGGAAGAATGCATCTTGCAGCACTTGGTAGTCGATGTCAATGCGCCCGAGTTTTGGTGCCATGCGATCACGCATCTTTGCTGCACCCTTCTTGTTCAGGTCGGCTTCGACGCCGGCGCCGCGCACTTCGGCAATCCCCGTGTTTGCGATAAAGTCCGGCAGGACGAATGGAATCTTTTCAATCCCGCGTTTTCCCTGCAAATACTTTCGCTTGTGGCACCAATGACGCGGCACTGGGACTGTGTTCCGATACGCCTTCAAGTAGCACAGGAATGGTGGGTCGGCCGACGTGATGTCGTGTGCTTCGACGACGTCCGGACACACCACCATCTGCTTCAGCGCCGCAATGCTCAGCTGCTTTGCCTTTTTGCGCTCCTTGCGTCCCAGTTGCTTGACGGGTTCGATGTCTTCCTCCACGGTTGTTACGTCTTCACCGCCTTCGTTCTCGTTGGTGTCGTCCCCGTCTGCGGCTGCAACGACTTGACCGCACAGTTCCTCCGCTTTCATAAATCTCTGGAACACGCGGGAGAATTCATCGAATGCAGGGTCGTCTTCAGATAGCCCAAGGTCGCTGCTCACATACTCCACGTCCACGGATACGGCAGGTTCGTGGGCTGCGGTGGGCGACGAAGGGGCGTCTGCCTTGCCGCTCGACGAGGATGCAGTTGTAGCAACGTCATTCGTCGCATTGAGATACTCCAGTTGCTTCTCCGCCTTCTTCTTCAGCCGCCTCTTGGCGTTCTTGGACAGCGCAGGCGCCGCTGCAAGTGCACTCGCCATCGCTCCTTTGTGTGGTGCTAGGTTCAATTCAAATGATAGAGGGATTTAGATTTCGAAGAACCTTCGACATTTTATTCACTATCCGGATAATTGTAAAAATATCCGGCCCAACACTGATTGCGAAGAACTCTTTCCATCTGCCTGACGAAGGCAGCATTTTTGCCGACAATGGAAGTTATTCATACTGAGCATGCAGTCGCGGACGTCGTGCGGCTGATGTCTACTACAGGCAAGGGCAAAGATCCCTGGAGCACGCACTGATCGTCGGTGTGTAGAGGGTCGCACGAAGGTGTACCGTCTGTTGCAATATGCTTCGAAAGCTTTGCAACTTACGCTCCACCGCGGGTTTCATGTCAACCCGGACTCAAGCGAGAGCATCCGCATGTTCAAGGTGCTTGAATCTCTCATGGGAACTTGCCGCAAAGCCATGCGACTCTTTAGGTTCATTGATATGTGGATGCTCTTTCCTACTGTCAAGGACAAGAGTTCGGTGACGCGATTCCTCCGAAAAGCTCGAATCCTCACGTTTGTGTGCATGTACCTGTTCGAGAACATCTCGTTATTCTTCCCCTCAACCCACGTGACAGTCGACGAAGGACAAGGCAAGCGAAGGACGGTCCTCACCGTTCGGTGGAGTCGGTGGTGCCACGTGTGCTGGTTTGCCTCGCTTGTGCTTGGCATTACCCTCGACATGCGTCTCGGTCGTCAAATATCCACCTTTGCCAAGCTGAAGAACGTCATGGATCTTCCCATTGCACTCATACTGGCACTGCGTGTGCGAGTGGACGATGCTCTTCTCTGCGGTTTAAGTCTCTCAAGTGCACTTTTGGGGGTGCAACTCCAGTGGACCGGGCGCCCATCGCTCATCACAATCAAGTCGTTGGATAGCGCCGAGTAGCGAAGTCTTCGTGTCAAGGAATGGGCGCGGAGACCATGTATTTAATGGATGCACACTGCTGGTTGAGCCATTCCATGGTGCAATGGGCATGTGAACACATGAGTCTACCTTATTGAATGGACGAACGACATGTGATGCTAGACTGGGGGGAGACCCATTGCTTCTCGAAGCTCCATGATTTGCTTGCGCTGGGCAAAGGGCAGACCTTGGATAACTTCTGGCGCGAGGTTTTGCACTTCCTCCAGCAGTTTCTGATGTTCAGGGTCAAGGTTAAGTCCTTTCGACGCGTTCTCTTGTCGCACAGCCGATGGTGCGTCGTCTCGGTTCATATTCAGTCGGAGTTGGATCTGGGCCAAAGCTCGGGCAAACTCGACGTGTTCATTCAGCATTTGCGCCGCTTCTTCCGGCTTGACTTCGCAGAACGTCTTCATGTGATACATTAGCTCGTACACATCGGCCTCACTCATCTCTTCGACGGCCTGGGCGAACACAGGTGCCGACATCTTTGCATTCGGCGTCTCCATGTCGTCCAAGCCACTTGAACAGATACACCATTATCCGTATCCGGAACAGTAGGCCATGTACTACTACTACTAATAGTAGTCCACAAGGCGCGAGTACTCATGGACTAATACAGTAAGGGCACATTACATTGCGAAGTACTAGTTGTTACTACTACAGTACTAGTATCCATGCAGATGAAGGTTAGAACGAGCTGCCTGGGTTTGTAGGTGGGACTAGATAGTTCCGCTCGAGATATGAACAAAACTACGTAGTACTCGCCACGAAGAGGTAGAGCTGCACCGGTCGCTGTTGCTGTCGAGGCAAAGAGTGGGACTGTCGTAGCGCGATCGAGACGCTACAAACCGATTGTCGAAAAAATGCTCGTCAGGTCGGCTTGAACTTCAGTGCTGGATCGACTTCGCGACAACGAAGTTGCTCGACTGTTGCCCATTTCTCTCTGCTTGGCAAGTAGCAGTATGTGTAAGAAGCCCGTGGGGGTCCGCTGGTGCTTTGCATGGTCCGCCACTGGACTGCAGCGAAGTCCAGTGTCGGGAGAGATTGCACGAGTAACGGCGTTGCACTGCGAAATATTATGGGTAGATCGTATATTTTGATATTTGCCGTCCTGGTACAAATAACATTGCATTGCTCGCTTCGTGTGAAGGTGTCTCCAACAAACAGGACCCACACTACGATGTCAGTTCCTCGTATATAGAGCTCGGTTGGCAAGGTGGATGAGGGTGTCATGTGTATGCTTGAGTCTGCAGCTGACTTCGAGGGTAAGAATGTCGCAGGGGTGACAAATAACAAAGTCGCCATCAGTTAGAATATTTTTCATTTATTATTGCAACGACCGTCTTATTTTTTGACAGTCCAATCGGAAATATTATAATATTTCGGAATCTTAAAGAAACCACCTCCAGATTGGGCTCAGCAGCGTTACACTTGAAGAGGGACTGCGCCGCGGCAGATGGAACTTGCGATGGAACCTTCGACTCGGCTGCGTCGGTACTTGCAAGGCGGGTCGTCGTTCGATGGGAGTACGTGCGATTCTCTCTCTCTCTCTGCTGACTGAACCACGCACCATCGGATTGTGTCTCCAGGTCTCGCCGTGTACGTGTACATCTTCCTCGGAGCGATGGTGTTCGTTGGCGTGCTAAGTCTCCTCGCGTATTGCTACCACCAACGCCGCATCGCGAGATACTTGGAGACGGACAACATGAACAACAACATGCAACGTCACTCCCTCATCGACAGGTCGGGGTTGAGCGACTCGATCATCCCACCAACATGTGACTGACCGATGGTGTTGCTTATAGCTTCCTCGAAGCCGGCGAGTCCGAGTGGCAGTGCTCTGTCTGTTACCACGACAATCACCCCGCCAAGCATGAATGTCTTCTTTGTGGCACACCTCAACGTCTGGCGAGTGTTCCATTCACGCTCTGGTCTCATTGTCGTCGTTGTAGTCATCCTGGAGCAGGCGGTGGGCACGCCGCGATATCACTTCGGAGACCACGACGCTCCTTTGGACCCTCTCCAAGCTGCTCGCCAGCGATCTTTCCAAGTTCGTCGGTTGAACGAGATGCAAGAGAATGTGCACTTGAACCAGCGGCAGCGCGGTGCACGACGAAGGAATATGTGGAAGCGCGAAAAGGGCGAAGACGGCCAAATGCGATGGGTACTGTGCCTTCACCGTGGATCTCATCTCAGCGTTCTACTTTAGGTGCGTGTGGAGGACTGCAAGCCCCGCGTCAGCATCCTCACGAGTGCCAGCCCCCTCGTGGTTCCACCCCCGGAAGAGTACCTCTTTGACATGCACGCGCGCACTTCGTTCTCGTCCCACACGGAATCGACCGTCGAGACAGAGCTCATGCTTACGCCGATGGCAGCGGCGCGCCAACGCGGCGCCAGCAAAGGCCGGACGGCAAAGATCACCAAGCGGACTGACAAATCGGAAACGTCATCGCTCATGGCGCAGGATTCTGTCGGGTACGCCATCTACATGGGTTGCGATGTCGTGAGGTGGCACACCACGACCGGTGTATGCATGTGGTTTTCTGCCTTATTCCTTGTGGAGATTCCTCAAAGCCATTGGACTCCAGTCCAAGTCGATTGACTCGAGTGATGGCTCGTGGTGTGGCTCGCTTCTCATGCGTGTTTGTCGCCATGGCACTTCACAGGTTTGTACGAAACACGGACGACTTGGGCAACGTGTCATGGGTGCCAGCCGACACGATTCGCATGTCGGAAGCGCTAGTGATCGACACGGACGAGTTTCCTCGGGCGTCATCGGTGATAGATTTCGAGAGCGTCGCGGCGCTGCCATTTCGACACAAGGTGCGGTGGTTTTTGCAAGAGCTCGACAAGGTCGCGGTGCCGTGGGAAGAAGGCCATTTGCTCTTGAGTGCGTCTGCCGGCCAGGTGGAGTCCCTGGTCACGCTGTTTATATTTTTTCTGGTTAGAAATCCGGCGCGACGCCGTTTTGGAAGAATCGATGCACTTGCTCATGCTAATCCCGGCCGCAGACATTCGCCAGCGCCTTCGCATTGAATTCATCGACGAACCTGGTGGGGTCGTTGCTGTGGATGTTGCTGTGACGTTCATGGCGGTGGTGGATGGTAGGGCTGGACGCAGGAGGGCTGCTTCGCGAGTGGGTGCTCTTGCTCTGCGAACGGTTGTTTGATGGGTCGTATGGGCTCTTTCAGTCGAGCCACGTCGAAAACGCCGGGCACGTGTGGCGTCCATGTCCGTACCGACGTGTGACGGGAATGGCTAGGTATTGGATCAACACCAACTCGGCGCAGCTGAAACCAGATCATTTGAAGTGCTTTGAGTTTATCGGGCGGTTGATTGCCAAGTGTTTGTTGGAAGGGCAGCTCTTGACGGTGCATTTTTCGCTGCCGCTGCTCAAGCACATCCTTGGTGTGCCCATTTCGTTCAGCGATTTGGAGTTTTTGGGTGCGTGCGATCGACTTGGTAGTGGCGCGGCCGCAGCACCGCTGACCGGTACGACGTAGACGAAGAATTGTGCAAAAATGCCAACTGGCTGCGCGACAACTCGAACGTGGACAACTTGTGCTTGGATTTCACCGTCCAGTCGTTTGATGCCAACGGCAAGCCGCGCGCGCCGACGGAGCTCGTGCCGGACGGCGCGTCGATCCCAGTCACGGACGAAAACAAGGAAGAGTACTTGCTTGCGCTGCTCAAGTATCACATGTTTGATTCTGTTCATGAGCAAGTGGCGGCGCTGCTCAAGGGCCTCTTCGACGTCATTCCTCGCAATCTTCTCGCCGCGTTCGACTACCAAGAACTGGAGTTGCTCATTTGCGGTGTCCCCAAAATCGATATGGCCGACTGGAAGCGCCACAGCGACATCAAATATCTCGACTTTGACCATCCGTCCAAGGCCGAGCACAAGGTGATTGAGTGGTTCTGGACCATCGTGGGCGAATTCACGCAGGATCAGCGCGCGCGCCTGCTGCAGTTTGTGACGGGGACGTCGCGAGTTCCGGTCGAGGGCTTCAAGGTGCGACCCTTCCCAGCCGTCCATTCAACATGACGCGTGTGGCGTAGGGACTCTTGAGCAACGACGGGCGCGTGCGACGGTTTGGGATTCAAATGGTCGGTCGAGGCATACCCCCCACGGGGCTGTACCCAAAAGCCCACACGTGCTTCAACCGCATGGATCTTCCGCTGTACAACTCGAAGGAAGAGATGGCGGCGTACCTCACCCTGGTGATCAACATGGAGATTACGGGCTTCACCATGCAGTAGCCACTACGTCCGATTCAATGTGTATACTATGATATTCCACTCAACCGACGGCCATGCTCGGGCTCTTCCTCGAGCACATGCATTGCGGGCGCCGGCTGCCTTGAGTTCGCCTGGATTCGAGCCGATGCCACGACTTGTCGCTATGAAGCTGCGCAGAAGCTACGTGCCAAGCAGCGTCACGAGGACGAGTGGACAGTATGATGTGAGGTAGCTTCTTGCCCTGCCCCAGAGCTGTCAAGGCTGGAATCAAAGCTATGATGGGTTTATGTACAAAATGCGACTGTCGCCAGACTCGACCACAGGCCAAGGGTGATGTCAGCCGTCCGCATTGCCGCCACCATCGTCTCCCTCGTCGACGTCCTCGTCGTTATTTTCCATGCGGATATGGGCCATGTGGACGGTCAGCTTCACCTTGCCGTTCTCGGCCAACTCGACGGTCGGTTTGTTGAATGGGGCAGTCGGCGCTGTGCTGGTCGACCGAGGGTGGGCGCTTTGTGGCCGCGGCATGGCGGCGTCGACTTTCCGTCTAGGCGTAGCAGACATGCATCGAGGAGGTAGCACTCGCGGTGGTACTCCATGTCGAATCGACGTGGTCGCAGCTTTGTCGATGGCTGGCGCGAGCGTGTGGTGGACAGAATCCGCGGGGGGCGGAGCCATGTTGGGGACGGTGTTGAGTACCCGAATGCGCATCAAGGACGGCTGGGCAGACACCGGGCGCTGTGTGCCAGCAGACTGCACCGCACGTCGAATGCGACTGGTCGGCATATACACGCGTTGCTGGGCTGTCGGAGGTCGTTTCTTGGAGTGCGGGAGAAAGCGCTTCTGTGCCACCTCTTGGATGCACTCTGTCCGTTCCAGGACCATCTTTGTATACGCCTCGATGATACCAAGCATGTCTTCATCCTCTGGCTCTGTCCGTCTCCGTCGCGCAGACGAAAGCGGCGGCGCCAACGCCTTGGTTTTGGTCGAGTTCAACCGTCGGGTCTGCCACGCTACAGGACCCCGCCATGAGAATGGAATGCCGCCGTCCGAGTCGTACCAAACTCCATTAAGTTGTCGTCGGCCGCCCCCCGCGGCGATGGGTCGCGCGGCTTTGCCCAAAGACCAACGTGCGGATTGCCGCGGCGAGACGCTGCAGGCGCGGGTTTTGTTCGATCCGTGTGCTTCCGCTTCATTGTGTTGTCTTCCTTGGTCGAAGCACCGAACCTGCCGGTCGTCAGCACTGGCATCGCAATGCCAGTCGTGCTCACTTGAAATGCGCTCCATGTAACGAGCACGTCTATCTTTGGCACGAGGATGATGGATCGGCCAAGGAATAGAGTGATGGGATCCTAGCTATGCCTACTGCGCCCCCTGCTCTAGCCGAATCGCTCCACCTTCACGCCCCCTTTGATTGCAAACATCAGCCGAGGGTTGGTATCGACATGGCAAGTGCCCTTGTGGCCAACACGTTTCCCTGGCGTGTGTCTGGCTGAGGGCGGACTCGTCGCCCACACCTCAAGTCGAATCTCTCGTTGGATGCGTCTCCTCAAACCAGCCACATGTCCTCGCATGCGAGGGGCGGAATTCATGGAGAAATGTGGGCAGCAATGCCCTGGAAGGATCCTCGCGTTACGACGAGATGTGTACCCGCCGTCGATGCATGTCAATGTGCGGTTGGAAGATCCAGTTGCATGGGATGGGGCTTCGAGATGGTGGTGGAGGGCATCCTCCGGCGCGGGAAAGAGAGGCATTGGTGAACGAGCGGACGAATCGATACGACCAAACTGCCCACAAGAGTTGGTTGGGCCGTTTGTCTCTCCATGGACGTGATCGAGCGAGAGCTTGCAATCCACCACGTCGTGTTGGAGGCACGCCCCCCGACTCGATCCTTGCACTGACATGGCACGAGATGGCCCCAACAGAAGCACACCGTTTTCGACTCTGTTCACACACATATATATTCCATGCGCTTAGAGATCGCCTTCGTCGGCCTCCTCGACAGACTCAACGTACAAGTGGGGACACTTGCGACCTTCGTAGTACTTGGTGTAGTTGCCGGACGAGCTCGCCACGTCGTGGGAGTAGCATCCCGTCCAGTTGGACGCGGCCAGCGACACCGACGTGGTCGCGTTGAACCCGACGCGAGAATCGATTTGGGCACGTGCGGTTTGAGCAATCGTGAGCTCGTACTCGTCCACCCCCAGGCGAAAGGCATCCTTGTTGCCGTCGATGCGCAGCTTTTGGCGCAGGTCGTGTTGGATCGACACGTTGTACTTGTAGTAGTCGGCCATGATAGTGTTACCGCGGGCCATGGGCTCGCCGTCCTGGATGCGCGGCGCTCGAAACGGCGGAATGTCGACAGCGTCCGCCGTGCCTTCCATCCCGTCCACACGGCCCGCTGCCTTGCTAGCCACATACGACCTGTACTTGGTTTCCCCGGACAGCGGGTAGTCCTCCATGTAGTACTTGGTCGTCTTGGTGCCGTCGTCAAACTTGATCGTGGTCGTTGTCAAAGTCGTCGTGCGCTGGTTGAACGTTTGGTCGTTTGCATTGTTCGAGTACACTTGCTGGTTGACGAAGGCGAACTTTTGCTTGACGCTGTACGTGCGGATGCCTTGGGCATTCGCAATCGTGGCCTTGACGTAGACGTCGCGCTCGGCCGTCGTGTGGATTGTGACGTTTGCGCCGTGGCCTGTCGTCGCCACGTCGGGAACGACGTGCCGTTGAAACACCCTCTTGTCGAGCGTCGCGACGGTCGCTTCCACGTCGTGGTCGACGTATACGAGCAGGTTGCCGTTCGTGGGCCAGTAGTCATGGCCGTTGCCGATGGCAAAGCTCACGTTGTGCGGCTTCCCGTCGAGCACGTTGGCCAGGAACGGCGTCAGGTCGACGATGTACGTGGGGGCTTCGAATGCGCCCACGGCCACGATCGGGCGCCACATCGCGGGACTGATCCCGCCCGTGTAGATTAACGGAAACGGCCACACCGCGCCAACGATGTCGTCGTCGAGCAGGACCTGGACTTCGCGGAACGCACCTCCCGCGCAGTCGGCGCCGACCGCCGCTTTGACCTCGTCCGTCGGGTTGGCGTAGTAAAACTCGTCACACCCGTGGTGCGACGTGAACAGCTCCAAGTACAGCCCGTCCACGTTCTTGGGGAACGTGACGAGGTTGTAGTTTCGCCCGACCGTGTTTGGCTGGACGTGAAACCACGGGTACGTGCTGTGGGGCTTGAAGACCGGGATGATCTGGTCCGGCGCGGACGGGACGCGCTGGACGACGTCGTGCGCCGGGTCCTTTTTGTAAAACTCGACCGTGACCGTCACGTAAAAGTGGCTCGTGTACACGCTGTTGACCACGTTGTCGAGCGATGCCGTCACGTTGCCGGTCGTGCCAAACAATGACCGGTACTGCGAGATCTCGCGAAAGATTTCCCAGTGCGGCCCCACGACTCGATTCGGTTCCTGGGTCGTTGTGCGCAGGATGGCGTGGGGACCGACCCAGACGGCGGCGAGGCGATCGAACTGGCGGCCAGGATCGACGTTGGCTTTGTATCGGACGTACACAAGCGAATAGTCGGGATCGTTGTAGCACGAGGCAGCGTCAAACGTGCCCTGGTACGGCTTGTCGTACGAAAACGCATACGTGTGGTTGTCGACGAGCGTGATCATACACGGCGCGGCATGCTTGTCAAGGATGTGCGAGTCCACAGGGAGACTGACATCCAGGGACTGATCGGGGCGGGGCAGCCATGACGACGAAGGGGAGCTCCGGTCGACGGCGGCGTCGTCGGTGGGGAATTGGATGTCGTCGAAACCGGCAGCAGCAACCAAAGCCGCAGCGATCGAAAAGAGCGACACGAGAAATACCATTGCTGGTTTGCACCAGCACGTGGCAAAAGCGGAAGTGGGAATCAATGGAAGAGGGAAGCGCACGGATGGAACGACCAGCCGGTCGCGCGCCGTATCGTCGACGGTGCCTGCGAGGCCGCTCTACAGAGTTATCATTCCTGTGTCAAGAAATGCTGGTCCCGGCCACGCAGCACTGGATATTCATGATGCCGCGCGGCGCCTTGCCGTGGTACTTCCAAGTCCCAAGCCCCGCATCCTGGCGTATGCAACGTCGGCGCCACGGGGCCATGGTTTCCAGTGTGTGTCGAGTTGGTCACGAGCCTGCAAAGGAACTGAGGCGCAGGACTCAAGCCCAATTCCCCCGTAGCAAGGGGGAGCCCCCACATGAATTTCAATCGTCCGAATGTGTGCCAACCACGTTGTGCAGCCTTGTCACCGGGGAGGCCGGCTGCACCCCCCGACGAAAGCGCGGATCCAGCCTTCGTCCTCTCGTCGGGACATGGGGCTGGTGGACTAAAAGGCCGAGCCCCTCCCAGGGGTACGTTAGTTTGCCCCTTCGTTGTTGCCTTGCGAAGAAAATTCTGGGATTCCAGGTGTATGATTGAATGTCGAGTGGTGGGAGCCATGTGGGTGTTTGTGGCTAACGGCGCGCGCGAATGCGCATGGTGTGGATGCAGTGGTGGACAGCTTGCCATGAGGATATGCCGGCCTTGCACCGATGAAATGGCTGACATGAGTGGGCTTGTGAAGGTGAACGCCGTGGGAAGCGCCATGCCTCGCGGGCGGGTCGTAAGATCGACTACTCCATGCTGGTGTGAGTCGGCTGCAACATTCTGGTAGAAGGGCCGTACAAGTCTCTCGGGGATGCCGACGGCGTGTGTGTCTGGTACATCGAGTTGTACATCGGGGCATTGTGCACAAAAGGGCAAAGTGCATTGTCCAAGGCATCGAATCTCCGCTGAGGTCAGAGCTACTGGGGGATTCCATCGCGACGACCCCTGCCGTCGCTCCATGCGCAGATAGCGTCATAGTACAGCCCACACCACACGTTTGAAGTGCAATGTGGTGGGGGTGGTCTTGGTCCTTGTGTGCTGTCATGGTGGTTGGGCGAGTGGTTGAGGGCAAACCATGTCCGAGTCGACGGTGCATCGAGTGCGGAGGGGCGTGAGGACTAGTTGGTCAGCTTGGTCAAAAAGCGGTGTACCGTTGGCTATCCCAACGCACCGCGCGAAGTCCAGAAATGATCCGAGGACATGCGGGGCCATGTGCCATTCGCACGACAGTGCTTGCATCAAGCACGCCGGACGCCTCGTGGTGGGAGGCTCTGGATGCGGCGCAGTACCGAGAATCGAATTCCTCTGGCGAGGTTCATTACTGGAACAGGTCGTTGTCTACACTCCTACAGATTGTAGAACGATGTCGAGACGTCGACAGTGACGGGCTGGTTCGTGTACGCTGCCAGCGCAGACCGCAGCGCCTGTGTCTTGAGCAGCATCTCGTCGTACTCGTCGTCCGTATCGGAGAGGGCCACGATCGCGCCGCCCGACCCGATGGTTACGTGGTTATGCGTCACGACGGCAGTTCGGATGACGATGTTGAGGTCGGCTGCTCCGTTTATCGAGAGGTAGCCGAGGGCCCCCGAGTACACGCCACGGGGATGCTGCTCCACGCGGCGGATCAGCTCCATGGTTCGCTTCTTTGGCGCGCCCGTCATGGAGCCTCCGGGGAACGTGGCTTCGATGGCATCGACGACACTGGCCGTGGGGCGGAGCTGACCTCGGACGGTCGTGACGAGTTGGTGGACAGTCGCAAACGATTCGACTTGCATCAGCGTTGGCACATGGATGGACCCGACGGTGCACACGTGCCCGAAATCATTCCGCACCAAGTCTGTGATCATCATGTTTTCGGCGCGGTCTTTCACGCACGCTGCGAGTTCCGCGGCGACAGCGGCATCTTCGTCTGGATCGGCGGCGCGCTTCCGCGTCCCCTTGATGGGTTTGGACTCCATGTGCTTGTGCTTGTTGACCGACACGAATCGCTCGGGGGACGAGCTGCACACACTGAATCGAGGTGTCGTCAGGTAACCCGCAAACGGCGCCGGGTTGAGGCGGCGCAGAGTTTTGTAAAACCCCAGCGGGTTGCCGATGGACACGTTCGCAATGAGTTGGTTTGTCAGGCACACTTCGTACGTTTCCCCCGCTTGAATTTCCGAGAGGACCGTCGCGATATTGGCTTCATAGGTCGGGCGGGATCGCGACGGGCGGAACACGATGGGATGGTCGAACGAGTCGGCTGGACGTCCCTTGGAAGGCATCATCGTGCGTATTCTTGCCGCTGTGGAAGCCATCCATTCCTTGGACGCGGTCAAGTGTTTAGCGGTCGTGACAACGAGCACGTAGTACTGTCGAGTGACGGCGTCATGGACGACAACTCGATCGGCAAACAAGAACGAGGCGTCGGGGACCGCCATGTCGGGCGGCGGATGCACCGCCAGATCGCTCTTGTCGCCCACGCCAAGCACTTCATAGCCAAAGTATCCCACGAACCCCCCTCGGAAATCGAATGGCAGTGCGGTGTCGTCGACGATGCGAATGGCGGCCAGTTCGCGCCGAATGTAGTCCAAAATGGACTCTGTCGACGAGCCATGGGCAGTTGTCACGGTGTTAGTCCATCTGTCGTACGCCACGTGCGTGGCCAGCGGGCCAGCAGCGTCTCCCATGAACGAAAAACGCGCGCCGTTGCTGCTGTCGAGCCAAAATGCATGCCTCGAGGTGCCATAGAGTTGTTCGAACACGTCTTCAGTGGCGACGTCAACGGCAATCAATGCTTCGACGAGAACGTGGTGCGTCGCAGAGGACGGTGGAGAGAGTTCTGGTTGCACGACCGGGACCTTAATTGCTGAGCAAGTTGCCGGCTCGTTCAATGGGACCGATGGCGCGTGGTGTAGTGGACAGATCTGGCACGGCGCCTCCGTTGAAATGTCACGGAAATTCTGCAGCATCTGGTACCCAAACTCGCTGCAAACAGACTCGGGGTGGAATTGCACACCGTAGTGAGGCAATTCCCGGTGCTTGAACGCCATAACCAGGTCATCTTCTGTCGTGGTGGCCAAGATTTCGAGCGTACCGACAGGGAGCGACACCGCCAACAACGAGTGATACCGCACCACGTCAAATGTCCGTGGGATGCCAAAGAAGAACGGGTCGGCTTTATCAGCAAGTTGCTGGATGCGACTGGTGCGACCATGCATGACGGTCGGCGCGCGCTCGACCTTGCCGCCATAGAAGTGCGCCATTCCTTGGTGACCCAGGCACACGCCGAGGATCGGAACGTGCGGCGATCTTGCAATCGCCGCAGCACACAGACCAAAGTCTTTCACTTTAGTTGGAGTGCCAGGACCAGGCGATAGCACGATGTTCACACGAATCTCAACATGTCGATGCAGCGCATGCACTCGATCGACATGCTTCAAGAACGTGGCGAATGCGACGTCCCAGTCGCCGTCGAACGCGTCGTTCGTGTACACGACGGGCTCGAGGCCGTTGACTTGCGACAGCATCTGGAACAGGTTGTACGTGTACGAGTCGTAGTTGTCCAGGAGCAGCGTCTGGACGAGCGGAGCCCGCCGCAGCGCCACCATCTTGTTCGATGCACTGCCAAGAATGGGCCAGGATTGCTCATTGGCGACCTGTGATTGGTCGGATTTCATCAAGCCAATCAGAACGCGCACCGAACTGCATGGGCGATTTGGATTGGCTGTGACGAATGAAGGACGACACGCAGCACACCACCCTCTCCCTCAGCGTGCCACGTCATGACAAGTTTCTATGCAGGACAAATGCCACGTTCCTCAGGCTCATGGGTGCTCGACGGCCACTAGAGCCGCATGATCCCTGCGCGCTCCCTGCCTACAACTCGACGAGGCGTCTACGAGCGCATTGATGTGGCAAAAACGTGCTTGGCGCCTTTGCACGGCACGTGGCATGATAGAAACCTTCACGGCCCCAGAGCATGCCTCGTTTGGTTGCGCCGCGCCTCGAGTCCCTCCATGGGTTGGTTCGACGCTGTCGAGACCCGAAGCGCCGATTCCTTGCGTCATCGTGCTGCATGTCGGGGGCAGGTTGTGGTTATCCGGATACGGATACCCAGGCGTTTTCATTGCAAGTTTCCATGATTTCATCGCCGCCGCAAACATGACATCCGAGGAGCAGCTGCCGTCAAAATCCAAGGCAATCAAGCACTATGTACGTCGCCACGAGCACGTGAACGTCGTGTGGCTAACGATACAAATGTAGAAATGGGCATATCGCGTCGGATGTCCAATCGTGAAAGCAATGCTGTTCTGTCTACTGCTGGAAATACCTGGATCGTCGCTCCGGATCACACGCCGTGACAAGACGTGGGAGTGGAATTGGCATGAGATTCGCACGCTGCTCGCCATCGTCGGGGCATCGACGTTGGCGTACTATGCTGTGCAAGGAAGCGACCCTGGCTACAT